CCCAATTTTTCTGGAAAAAAAGGGCTTTGGAAAAAAATGGAAAAAAACCTTTTTTTCTGGATTTTTTCCAGGCCTTCCCATCTCTAGTCCAGGAGACTACCCACTGTAGTAATGGGGGAACTTTAACTACCCTGACATCAACTAGGAAACAAACTCTGCAGCAAGTGGGAGATCGAACAGGTTCTGATGTGCCTAGATGACAACTTTATCATCCAAAAGGTGGAGGAGGGAACTAGAGAATCAGCTATACTGTACTTGATACTTACTAATAGGGATGAAGTGGTTGAGAGACTGGAAGATGTATGAAGTTTGGGAGCGAGTGACCATGTTATACTAGGATTCACCATAATGCAGGCAAGGGCAACTGAACAGTCAGACTAGTGTTCCAGGTTTTAAGAGAGCTGACTTCAACAAACTAAGAGAAAGAATAGGAGGGAACCCGTGGATGGAAATCCTAGAGGGAAAAGTGGTTCAGGATGCTTGGGAAACTCTGAAAAATGAGATAGTAAAGTCCCAAACAAAAACATACCACAGAGAAAGAAAAACAGGAGACATCTGATGAGACCAGCATGAGTTCTCTGACAAGCTGAGGGACAAAAAGGACAAGTATAAAAAATGGAAAGAAGGGTTTGTAACTAGAGCAGAATACCAGCAAATAGCAAATAGCCCAAATTTATAACGATGGAGTCAGGAAAGCTAAGGCTCAGTATGAACTAAGACTTGCAACAAATGCCAAAAATAACAAAAAAAGTTTCTTTTGATATGTAAGGAGCAAGAGGAAAGTCAAGGAAATGATTGGTCCGCTAGTGGGAGAAGATGGCAAGAAGGTGACGGGCAGCAGGGAGAAAGTGGAACTGCTTAATTCCTTTTTTGCATCTGTCTTTATGCAAAAGGAAAAAAAAAATAGCCCAACCTGTCTAAAGCAGCACCGTGGGAGACAGAAGAAGAATTCAGGTCAAAATAGGTAAGGAATTGGTTACAGAACACCTGGCAGCTTTGAACAAGTTCAAGTTTCCTGGACTGGATGGTTTACACTCCAGGGTACTGAAGGAGCTGGCAGATGTGATCTCAGAACCACTGAATGAAATCTTTGAGAGCTGGAGCACAAGAGAACTGCCAGAGGACTGGAAAATAGCTGTTGTGGTTCCAATCTTTAAAAAGGGGAAAAAAGTGGATCCAGAAAACTACAGGTCAATCAGCTTGACATCAATACCTGGGAAAATCCTAGAGAAGGTAATCAAGCAGCAGGTTTGTGTGCACCTAGAAACGAACAAGTTGATTACTAGAAGCCAGCATGGGTTTGTTAAGAACAGATCATGCCAAACAAATCTTATTGCCTTCTTTGATAAAGTGACTAAATTAGTGGACCAAGGAAATGCTGTGGATATAATATACCTAGATTTTACTAAGGCATTTGATAAAGTAGATCATAGCCTACTTCTTGGTAAGATAGAACAATGTGGGATAGACAGTACCACTCCAGATGGATTTGCAATTGGCTGACCAACCACACTCAGCGTGTGATCCTTAATGGGACTACATCTATGTGGAGGGAAGCATGCAGTGTGGTACCTCAAGGTTCTGTCTTGGGCCCACTGCTCTTCAACATATTCATAAATGACCTAGATCAGGGGATTGAAGAGGCGCTCATCAAATTTGCAGATGACACAAAGGTGGGGGGAATTGCTAACACTACAGAAGACAGAAGGATCTTGACAGACTTGAACATTGGGCCCTATCCTACAAGATGCAGTTCAGTGGAGAGAAAAGTAAGGTCCTACATTTAAGCAGGAAAAACCAGATGCACAGATACATGATAGGCAGTACCTGGCTCAACAATAGTGCCTATGAGAGGGATCTAGGTGTCCTGGTGCACCACCACTGAAGTATGAGTCAGCAGTGAGCTACAGCTGCCAAAAACGCCAACACAGTCCTGGGCTGCATCAACAGAGGAATAGTATCAAGATCAAGGGAAGTGATAGTACGGCTCTACACTGCACTGGTGAGGCCACACTTGGAATCCTGCATCCAGTTCTGGTCACCACCATACAAAAAAGATGCTGAAGCCCTAAAAAGAGTGTGGAGAAGAGCAAGATAAGGGTCTGGAGGCTGAATCCTGTGATTAACGGCTAAAGGAACTAGGTATGTTTAGCTTAATGAAGAGAAGACTGAGGGGAGACATGATAGACTCTTCCAGTACTTGAAGGGCTGCCACAGGAAAGAGGGTGTCGATTTATTCTCCATAGCACCTGAGGGTAGGACAAGAAGCAATGGGTGGAA